CGTAGCAGAGAAATTTCCCTACAATTTTTCCTAGCTGCTCAACACTTGGAGGGTTAAACAATTCGCGATTTAAAACATTTATCGTTGCTATTTTTGGAACACGTTTTACGCAAAGTTAAAGTTTCTCTTTTTTGTGTATAAAGAAACAACGTTAATAATAATTTTTGAAACAATATTCTTGCTTTGTAATAATGTATCATGTTACTGTTTAAGAAGCTAAGAAATTACTGAAAATACTTTATATAATTTCCATTGTCTAATGAAACAAGTTTGATTTACGCAACACAAATTCTATCAGCAATACAAAAAATATGTTTTTTAAGCATTTAAAAGCAATTGCAATAAAGCTATTTAGCAGTTTTTTTAAAATTGCATTTTACGAGATTTTTATAAACAGGCTTGTAATATAACTTTCAAAATTAATTTATTGTGATATTTTCAGAAAATACTGATATTCTTTTCTGTAGTATTTCATAGTACAATATTTAAAATTATTTTCCTAGCTCCCCCAGAATGGTTAAAGGAACCAATAAACGCAGTGGGAAAAGAGGGAGAAAGATTAGTGTTAGAGTGTCAAGCAAGAGGGGTTCCACAACCAACAATCACTTGGACAACAGGTATAATACATATCTCCCTTTTTTACATGTTCCATTTTTCAACTTTAAATAAATAATTAAAAATTCAGTTTTGCACAGAAAATATACGGGGTGCTTCCATAGCGGTGAAATGTAAATAGAACACCCACGTCCCTGTAATTTTTGTCCTCATCGGGAAATCACGTGACTGTTGGGAAAATCAAGAGAGAAATTTCCTACTTTCTATTTCTCCTTGTTATTTCAATGGAGGAAAATCGATGCAGATTTGTCTATAAACTGATTGATAAACTTAAATCATTGTAAATTGTTTTAAGAAGATGCAGCTCATTTTTATTCTAAATTTTTTTTTCTTCACCTTGACATGTCTAAAACAATACGTTCAAATGTTTTCAAGAGTACCAAATACCATAAAATGTATCCATGATTTTACAAAATGGAGTACTATTGTAAAAGCACATTTGATTATAATTGAAACGTATATTTTTTGATTTGATAAAACAACAAAAATATTCTACAATTATGTTTCAAAATCACCCTAGATGTTTCTGAAAACAACTGAATTCAATTGCAATAAAATTTAGTAAAGGATACATCTTTATCGTTTTTAAAACCATTAAAAAGTTAACGTTTTCTTAATTTTGTAAAAATATAAGCAATATTGTACTTGTTAAAAAGTGTGAATTCTGAAATAATTGTTTGCCTAGTAAAATCTTGTTGAAAAATTATCCTATTTTTTACTGTTCCACTAATCTTTACGCTCCTAACGCTTTTAACTTTCCTCGAGTACAAAATATGAATTTACTAGAAAAGAGAACTCATCTCAACTGTCACTCGAAGTCATAGAGAGAGTCTCTGGTGTTTGGGACGATGAGAGGTAGCGGATAGCAACAGGCTTGCTCTATTTATATTGTAGCTCTATTTTTCCTTAAATTACTAATTTTGAAGTCATTGTCAAGAAAAGTACGCATATACGCGGTTATTAATTACTATTTGTCAGTGCAAAGTTAAAGCGATCATCGGTTTATTTTAATGGGCAAGGATACTTTTTTAACAGTATTTTTAACACAGTATTTTTACACTGTATCTGTTAATTAAATTATAATTTATTTCATGTTAAGATACAATAATAAATTCATGCATTTGTAATCAACTTTTAAACCATTTAGAGTTGAGATCCGTACCTGAAGATCTGATACTTATATCAAAAGCTATGTAGGGCGTGTATTGATTTTACGCACTTTACGCGTTTAAATACGTTATAAAAATTCGAATGTATTCTGTAAAACTTTTTTTTTAAAAAAAACTACATATTCTTAGAATAAGGACCGGGATAGCCTGGTTGGTAGGGCACTGGGCTCACTTCCAAGAGGTTGTGAGTTCGATCCCCGCCGACCGAAGACTCACCGTGCAGTAAATGGCGACTGATGCGCGTTAAATCTGTCGAGTCTCAAAGTTCTCCATGTTCACATAATAAATCATACTTCTTGAGGTACAGATCCAGGAGTTTCCTTTTTTTCTGGATTGGTACAAAATCAAAAGGCTACGGAGTTGAACATTAGTAGTCGTAGACCCAAAAATGGGCCTGCTGTTCAACGACGGTTATAAAATAAAATATTCTTAGAATAAGCTGTTTCTATTCCTCTTCTGCAGATGGTAAAAATTCTCCTGTATCGAATGATGCCGGATCTCAGATTCGAGTTCTGCCAACAGGTTCTCTAATCATAAGCAGTCTAGACTCTTCAATGCAAGGACAGTATACTTGTGTAGCAGACAACGGGTTAGGAGATTCTTTGAAAAAGCAAATTTCCATATCTGTAAGGGGTGAGTTTTTGAAACATTCACTCTTAGTTGCTTTTCATGATTAATATACATATTCATTGTTCGTCTAGCTTTGCTTTTTTACATATATTGATTGTTCTGTGTATAATTTTGCATTTTTTTTTTCAAAATTAACTTATATCTTTCATTATTTGTTTGATGGTATGAAAATAAGTTTACATTAAGTTCTGTTTACTTTTTACGCATTTATTGTTATTTATGTGCTAACATGTACATGTATGTATTTGTACTAACGTGTGCTAACATGTATGTATTTCCATGTATTTGATAGTAAAATAACTTATGTATATTTAAATCGTATTACTATTGTTAGATTTTAAGCGTGTTATTAGTTTGATTGATTTGTTTTTGTAGACATATATTTGTGATATTTAAAAATAAAGTGTAAGAAAATTTTTAAAAATAAAATTGATGTTTTTTTGTGAATTTAGAATAAAAATGAGCTTAGATATTATTGATAAGCTAATATTTATTGTCTTTTACTTTGTACACGCATATCTTTATATCTCTTTCATATTTAACTCTTCCAGAAAGTGAAACAGATAAAGTTACGATGAGCTACGAGAAAAAGTTTTAAAAAAAATTTCAATAATGAATAATACTGTTTAAAATGCGCATTGCCTCTTTTAGTGTTCCAATGAATCATCAGCGACATGTATTTAACTAAACTAGACAGATTTCTTTTTATTTATAATGTAAAAAAAGAAATTATTGCGTATATTATACCAATAAATTTTTGCACCAGATTGACATATTTTGCTTTGGATTGCTTGGATTCCAAAAATCACGAATATGTTTGTAAATGATATGAAATCCTATACTTACTATTTATTATACACGCAAAAATAATATATTGCTCAGATTTATGAAATCACGAATACGTTTGGAATTGATATGAATATATTGTAAGAATTATCTTATACTTATTGTTTAATGCACGTGCAAAAATAATAAGTTGATTAAATTCATAAAATCACGAATAAAAACATTGATGTAGGGCATACCGAGAAGTAGATCTTAACTAGACCTAATATTAATTCGGACATTTACAAAAGCGATTATGTGATTGTCAACGTTCACCGGAGGAAGTCAACAATCACCAATTACGGTCATGCTCTGTAACATATCGATCACTCTGAAGAATGCCTTTTTAATCAACCTAAATATTTCTGTTGTTGCAAAGTTCATCGCCATTTTAAAGAGGATTAATCCTTTATTTTTCTGTAGTAGTAATTAGTTTGAACAACATATTTTTCTAATGAACACGATTATTTTACTTCATTTTACAGTGCGTTTGCATTTTACACAGGCTCTTCCTCTGATTGCATTTGGCGATGATTCCGAACTACATATCTTTCTAACGAATGTGAATGTTTCTATAGTTTTCTAGTGAGTACTTTTTTAAAGACGATAAATATTCGAATTGTGAATAGTGATAACTCTGAACATTATATCTTTTTTAAGAACGCAAATGTTCCTTTATTTTTACAGCGCATTAGCATTTTAACGAGGCTAAATCTTTTAACTATATGCGTTAATTATTCTGAGCAACATATTCCAATCAACGTAAACATTTCTATAATTGTAAAGTTCATAACTAAGATCCTCTAATTATAAATAGTAATTACTCCGAATAAATCATCTTTTTAATGAATGCGAATGTTCATTCATTTTTTTTTTCAGTGCATTAGCATTCAAAGGAATTTTGGAACTCAAATTTTATGTAGTGATTACTCCAAATAACATATTTTTCTAATACGGTGAAATGGTCTCTCGATTTGTACAGTGCAACACTATTTTACAGAAGGTAAATCCTACAAATATAAATGGCGATTACTTCGAAAGACATATCTTTCGAAGGCACGTTTCTTCCTTGATACACTGTAAAAAAAATTTGATCTTTTTAAAAAATGCTGGCAACTTGTGCAACTTTCTAATGTTTAGAATATTTTGTTGATTGTTTGAAAAATTCATACAGAAAATAAAATCTTATTTGCTTATTTAAAGTTATATTGAATTTAACGTATAGTTAGATGGCCTTATGTCCAGAATATGATATACTGCGCTAAGCAGGCAAATTATTATGTACTAATTGTATGATAAAATTTTATGAAATTTTTAGGGAACAGGAAAATTTTAATTTCCGCTAAATAATTGTTTCGTTATCTAATCTATTTTGTTATCTATTTATTGTATTGTGATTTATTGTTTTGTTATCGTTGTTAGTTATCTAATATCTGTTGCTGTTATTAATATTACTGAATTAGTTATTTGCTGTATCTTTGTTATTTGCACAAATTTTGGTTTATCCGTTTAACTTGAAAATCGGTGATTATTGCATATTTACGTCTTAAAGGGAATTTAATATAAGTTTTGTTTTATGATGTACCTGATTATACAAAAAACTGATATTGCATAAAAATATATACTAAATAAAATATGGACTAGTATAAAAATACTCGATCCTGAAACATTAACATAATTAAGAGTGCGCCATATATATGTATTACAGTTGGTGTCTAATTATTTAAACACGCAATAACAATTCGATGAAATAATTGATATCATCCTTTCTTAAATTGAAACTGTTTTTCTCAAAACAAATTTCATTTCTTTTTAGGATTTGCAATACAAAAATTAATTTATAAGTTTTAATTGTAAACTTTGACTAAAATGCAAGCTTATATGCTTTTATGGGCTGACTATAACTTAACAATAAGAAAACTTTTTGTAATATTATTTGCTTTTCATTTATCATTTTGTGGATTTACATTTTATTTTCACCGATATGTGGCGCTGCCGTACCATTTCAGGCAGACAACATTTATAACGGTTGTTTCTGCATACGCCATGTTATAAACACAATAATATCATGACTTGTGTGTAAGTCTTTTGTTATCTCTTAAAAAACAATTTTATGTTTATCATATTTATACTTTGCAATTGGCTTAAATTATTTTAAAAAACTAATGTGTGTTTGTAAGAAAATGAAGATAGACGCTAAGCAGATCCTACTCCTGAAAATTTTCATGGCCAGTTTTTGGAAGACGATTTTTTGTGGCGGTGAGTAAAATTTCATTTTCAATTTTGAAAAATGACACTTAAAAACACTTAATTTCTTCTTTTAGGAAAAATCATGAAGCTTAGATATGATAGAAGTTTTTTTTTTATTTCGATTACTTTCTAATATAATGCACTAAATCCAGAGTATTTATAAATAAGATTTTGTATACAAACTCAAAGAGTAAAATTTATTTCCTACAATTCGAAGCTGTATAACCTTACTTTTTCGTATGAAATATAATTAAGTTACATTTAGTTTTGAAATATATTGAACTAAGGATTTTGAATTTTGCGTTATTTATCGAATTAGGCCATTAAATTTATCTTTAAATTAATGTTTATGAAATTCCAAATTTTGCTTTGTGGCAATCATCATAGCATCATGTGCTTATGTATTTTATGTGTTAATTAAAAATTTTATAAGTTATCAGGATGGAGCAATCTCAAAATCGGAAATCCTCAACTATATATATATATATGTATATGTATATGTATATAGTGTATTCAAAATTACTTATTTTTTATTGATTTCTTTTCACTTTTTCTTAATATGCATTTTGTAATTTTCTTGCGTTGAATATTGAATATTATCTAAACTACTACTACTAAGTTTACTTGACTTTTCCTTTCCATAGATTGTATATTACACATTGTATCATCTATATTATACAGTGCGCGAAAAAAAGTGAAAAAAAACCTCCCTGAATTATTTTAGTGGGTAATCTCAAATATGCTAATTAGTGCGGATGATGCTTCAAATTTCAAAATCAGACAAAGAACTGTACGTTCGTTGAATAAAGATATCTTTTTTTTCGACGGATTAAAATTTTTGATCCTTAAAATACGGTGGATATACGCAATCTGGGAAATATGGACCCAATAGTTTGGTAAGGAGAACAATCGAATGTTTGGTCCCTTTCCTATTAATTTTACTTTCTGTGCATTTTGAATTGTAAATCTTCAATTATAAAATTCATTCATTCAAATATATAATGACATTAAAAATTTCATTTTTAATACTTCTTCATTTTTCTACTATTTTATTTAATAGTCGAAAATACTTTGAATAACAACATATGCAGATTTTTATATCATTTGAAGGAAAGTAGTTTTAGAAGGAAATATACGAAACTTGAAAAAGTTCAATTGAATAGTTCCCAAAAAAAAAACAATTTTAAACATATGATTCTTTAAAATTAATAATTAATTTTAAATTATTGTTCAAATTTTATATTTCTCGAGATGAAATTACATTCTTTAAAATAATGTTAAATTTTGTTCTTAATAATAATACTATTTCTATTAAATAAAATAATAAATTTTCATTAAAATTTATTTTCTGTAGAAATTGATTTTGTGTAAATAGTTTTTATAATTATATGCAAAAACTTCTCAATTTGCAATTCAGAGCATGCAAAAGTAAAATTAGCATTTAAGGGATCCAAACTTCAGACCTTCAGCTCTCCTGACCAAACTATTGGAGCCATATCTTCTAGAGTGTGGCTTCCTACTGTATTTTGGATGTCAAAAGGTTATTTAAAGAGTATGCATTTTTATGTCTGATTTCGTAACTTATATCGTCTGCACTAACTAATTATTGTATTTGAGATCACTTTCTCGAACCACCGTACGTGAGTCCTAGTAAAGTAAAATTTATGCATTAGATTACAAGTTATTCAAAATATTTTTTGATATTCCTTTCGTGCATAGTAAATTATTAAAATTTTTGCACACATTATTTGATCATTGCAATCATGAATTAAACTGAAATTTTTATAACAATTTTAGCACACATTGTTTAATAATTACAATCAGGACATAAACTGTAATTTTTTTCACAACTTTCTTTTTAACACCTAAAAAAATCAAAATTCATAGATTGATCGTGGAAAAAAATATTTTAAAAAATTTTATTCTAAACATATTATAACAGAACAGAAATATAACAGCACAGTAAAGCAAATTTATAGAGCACAGAATTTCTTATCTGTTCGAATTTATTTTACATTGCTTTATTTTTTGCTTGCCCATTAATAGTATCGTAGGTTTAAAGATAATATTTAACGTTTTTTAGTTACTCAATAATATAATACTATTAACAAAAGATAATATTTTTCAGATCCTCCTATTGTTGCCCCATTTATATTTTCACCTGTTCTGAAAGAAGGAGAAAAAGCCAATACATTGTGTTCGATTCGTTCGGGTGATAAACCAATCGAAATCAAATGGATAAAAGATGGTCAACCACTGCCTGTATCATCCACCGTCAATGTACAGTCATTTGAAGATTCTTCTGTTTTGTTTATCAAATCTGTCAATTCTGGAAGTTCGGGAAATTACACTTGCGTTGTAACAAATTCTTTCGGAAAAGATCAGTATACTGCATCTCTTGTTGTTACAGGTATGTCTTAAGTAGATTTTTTTTCATTGGGGGGGGGGAAAGGCGCTGTTATGCATGATGTTCCGTAATGACCAGCTTTAACATATATTTTTGGAATCTTTCTCAAAAAATAAAGTCTGCTGATTTGGGGTCTCGAATTAAAATTTAAGCGAGAAAAAAAAACATTGTTAAGAAACTACACTAGTAACGCAGATTTAAGAACATCGATTATCGTAGGATAAAAAGAGAAGTTTCAAAGATAATTAATAAAAACTTCCAGAAATTATTAGGTTCTATCAATCAGATCTTTGTGTACTTTTGATCCGCATTTCCTGGACCTTCCCCACTTGCGTTTGTATAGTTTGTCTAAAGTAATTACTCCCCCTAGCCATTCGTCTAGATCCGTGGTGATAACTATGGTAACGAGGTTTAACTGTTTTGAGTAAGGGTGTGGGGCCATTATTTAGGACAGATTTTGGCTCTGGTCGGCAAGAGAAAGGGAATCTTTTCCTTCTGTCTATTGGGTTAAACTTAAAGTAAAGAGAAGCGATCCACCCTGAAATGCGCTATTCTTGTTTCCATAGCAGCAGGAGGCCTCAGACTTTGTGGCGGGGGGAGTTTCTACAGTAGACATAATATAACAACTACCGTGTAAGTTGTTTTGACTTTGAATTTAAAAATATTCTCCGAAAGTTCTTTTTACTAATTATACAATTGTAAAATTAAATATACATCGCCTTTTGACTATATTTGAAATCCCCTATTTATTTATTAATTTTTGTTAAAAATAAATATTTATTCAGCTCCTCCTGTATGGCTAAAGGAGCCAATAGAAACTGTCGTGAGGGAAGGAGAAAGCGTTTCCATAGAGTGTGAAGCAACAGGTGTTCCATCCCCAAACATCAGATGGAAAACTGGTAACAAGTTCTATTCTTTTATATAAAATTTTATTTAATGCTTATATTAACATTTACACTTCTTAATTCAAACATCTCTTTTTTATTATTTTAATGCATGTTTTAATTTAAAGTTGGGTTGTTTTTATTTGACCAACCGAGAAGTTTACATTAAAACATTTACGCACTTATGTACGTCACTGGTCACTAATAAATATAAATTAATTTCCATGAATAAATATTGCTTTGCGTAGAATATTCTTATAAAAAAAGAAGTTGCGTCCTCATTTCGTTATTTAAGGAAATATATCCCTGATGGATTGATAACTTTATATTTATTTTCCACACATCAAATTGAGCTTGTGCATGCTTGACTAAAACTATACATTATAGTATTTTTCAAATAAATTTGGATATTTTACAGGGTTTGAAAACTAAGTTAACTTTTATTAGCACCGAAACGAAGATGACAAAATTTTTCCTCGTCATCTTGTGTATATAAATATACGTTAGAAACTAACATGATTAGAGAGTGATATATGCATTCCTCTACAGATTCAATTTTTAATTCAAAGAATCATTTAAATCATTTTGATAGAGTAATATTTCGTTTATGCTTCAATTAGTTTATGAACAGTAAAAATTAAAAGAAATCGTTGAGATTAATACTGTAAAATGTAGCCTTCACAATACTACTCATTTTTTGCAGTAATTTATTAAAAAATTTTGTTTAAGTTAATGGCAATAAGAACTTCTTACTCGTTCACTCAGTGAGTGCTAAGTAATAATTTTATATTAACTCATAAATGACTTAAAATTAATATAACAAGTATAACAAACAAATTACTAATTAATAACTAAGTAAAACTACTAAATTTTATCCTATTTTAAAACTGTCCATACTGTGTGACAAGATGGTACAGGGAGTACAACGCTAGCTTGCCTAACAAGTTTCCTGTATTTGTTGTTATAGTCTTAGGCCATTAAGGCATAAGAGGTGCGATTGTTCTTGCTTTCCAGTGGGGCCATCTATGGCCAAGCGTTCGACTTCTGCGACATCCATTTTATAGGGCAAGTCCATTCATAAATTCATTCACTTATCCACAGATCCCAATTTTGACCTGAACCAGAGAACGATCAATCTCCAATTCAGTACCTTCAGAGGTATAATTTATTATGGTAACATGAAGGAATTTGTGACCCAGCAGAATTAACGTGCATCAGTCACCATTTACTACACTGGGAGTTTTCGGCCTGCTGGATTTGAACTCCCACTTTTAAGAACGTGGGTCCAGCAATATGCCAATCAGGCTATCCCGGGTTTTATATGCTTGAATCCTGGAAATGATTCAGTTGTCCTTATTTTATATTTTTTGCTCTAAATTATTGCGTTAAATAGTGAATTTACAGTAAATTTACAATGGATAAACACACATTTAACTAATCTAATAGCGTAATGTTTCATAGATAATTCTCAAATTATTTGAAGCCAAACATTACGTTTCTTAAGTAGTAAATAGGCATTGTTTTAGAGTGTTATTCGAACATTATCTCACTTTTAATTACAACCCTTTTTAAGTAATATTTTTTTCCTTATCTTTCAGAAGTTAAAGGTGTCACTATAACATCAGATTCTTCTAGTACGGTTCACGTGACTTCGACTGGAACATTAATCATTTCGAAAGTTATTTATTCCATGGAAGGAACTTACACTTGTGAAGCTGAAAATGGTTTTGGTCCACCACTTACTAAAACTATTTCTCTCACTGTGCGTGGTATGTATGTAATTGCAGAAAAATCTCGTTCCTTGCTTCTTGTATTGTTCATTAAAGTATTTATGAGGTTTGTGTGCTAAGTAGCTTCATGTTTTTTCATTGGAATTATTATTATAAATAAAATTATTGAATTTCAGATTAATTATAGATTCTTGTTGTAGGTTTTTAGTACACTCAAAAAATTCCGAGCTATGTTGCACCAAAAATTATTATTCACTTGCTAGCTACATAAAGTTGAGCTCAATTTTACCAGATTTTACCACTTTCACCTGCTCCAAATATCAGTAGAATGTTGTTCTAAAAGTAGGAGCTAAGAAACAAAACTACTATTCTAATTCTTTTTTTTTCTTTTATAAAATCAGAGGAAGGTGGCACCTTTATTAGGTATTTTCAATGTGCTCAAATGCAGACCAAGGTTCCTATTTACCGAAACAAAACTATTTACCGTAAGAAGGTTATTTTATGGCATACTTTAAACCATTTCATACTGCCAACCAAATTTAAAAAGTCAGAATAAAAGAAATGAAATTTAATTAATGCAAATAAAACATTGACCTACCTAAAAAAGTTGATACTTGGAACAATAGCAATAGTCATCCCGATACACCGAGACCGAGTTGTAAAGAAAACATTCTTGCATTAAGGAAACATGCTTCGTTAACAAATATCGTTCAGTTTATAATACATCAAAGTTTTGTGTGTTTTACCAAAATTTGGTGCAATTAGTTGTACTATGGAATTATTTCTCGATCATACTTTATAGTTTATGGTGTAAATAAAATAAAACGATTTTTCATTTAACCAAACTTTAGGAGGATGAGAAAATTTTCACCAAATACTGGTTAAAGATTTACCGATTTTTTTGCAGTGTTTAAATTTAGAATATAAGTTTACCGAGATGCCAATGAATTCATTTTTGTTTGATTAGAATTGCCTTTTTTTGCATCGTCCTTAGAAAATTTAATTCAACTTCTTTCGGATCTTCCAGAGTCTAGTAATTTTATCTGGAAACTGATAACGCAATGAACTATTAATTGCAACTCATGTTTTTACCGATTTTAGCGAGTTATGACACGGACTAAAAATACATCAAAGATATATAACTATTTTTACCTTACCAATAGTAGGTTTCTATAGAACTTTATACAGTCGTGATTTTGTTCGATTACCATGCATTGATTGTGAATCGAAGGGGATAATATAAGTTTTTACTATATAGTTTTTCTCATTTTTACCGAACTAATAATTTTATCTTACTAATCCTAACTTGACCTTACTACCCCGATTTATATCGTATTGTAAAAAGCAATTAAAGGGTACATCTTATTCGTTAAACCTTGCTGATAATTATATTTTTCTATATGTTATGAATTTTTAATCAATTTTGCCAGATGTTGTGGTTTTATTTATGTAAAAAAGATGCATTATGGTTTCTTAAATCGTTATTTTTACATTACAGATAATTCCATTTAATAACTTTACTAATGATATTTTTGCCGTTCCATTTTGTCAAATTGTGGTATAAATACATGACGTGACAAAATTAATTATGTTTTTCAAACTTATGTTTAGCAATCAATGCTTGAAATATTTTTTTAAACGCATTAAAAATGTTGGAATTTATTTCTCATTTAATGTCAAATATGTTTAAAATTTTTAAAAGTATTATTACTTTTTCATAAGTTTTTGTAAAATGATATTTTATGTTGCGAAAGAGAAATATCACTAAGATATAAAGATTTTATAGCAAAATTCATCAATAAGTCTAATCTTTTGATGTGAAGTTTTAGCCAATGTCCTTAAAATTTAAGTCAGTAATTAACATTTTGTATCATTTAATTTACACTTATTCGATTTCTTGCGTTTAGTTTTCATTTTTACCGATATGTGGCGCTGCCGTTCTATTTAGCTCAACTGTCGTTTGTATATGCTCACACACGCCATGTTATAAACACCATTGTTACGAACAACGCAATATAACCATTTTTTCCACACTACTTTAATAAAATACAATGCATTACAGTTTACTGTTTCAATTTCTTAAAGATTTATTGATGTAATACATAACGAAATGAAAAAAATCATAAATCAAGTCCTGTTGCTGAAGATAGTTTTTTTATGGAAGATTGTATCATGTGGAGGTGAGTGAAAAATGTTTTGTAAGAATTTAATTTGTAACAAGTGTTTAATACATAATTTATGCCCCTTTATTAATTTGAAAAAAAATCTGCATAATCTCGAATGTTAAATATTCTGAACTGATTATTTAATGTATGAATTAGATTTCTTTTTATTTACAATGGGCAATACAATATCGTTTAATATGCATTTATATGTCTTTTGTAATAAACGAAATAACTGTTTCATGCGCTATTTAATATGCATTTCCTTTTATATGAAATAAAACGGCATTTAAATTTACCATCGTGATCAGAGTTTAAAATAACCAATTTAAAGATATTTTTATATATTACATATTTTATATTTTACAAATTTTTTTTTAATGGCGGGCTATTTTACATATTTGATATGTTACATATTTCATGTATTACATACTTAATATATTACATATTGTATAGTGTATGATGTCGAATTAAAATTTGAACTTGTTTTTTTTCTCATTTTAATAAATTATGAAGATTTTTAATTAAGTGATCTGTATATATTATTTGTTTGTATTACTAAAGGTAAGCAAAAGGAAATTATCGTAGTAAAATGTTTAAAAATAAGAAAAGTATGGAAAATTTTTCTTCACTCAGTTTTAACTATCTTTAATCAAGGAAATTTTTTTCAACGTGTTAACTTCAGTGACAAAACAAACTAATTCTATAGATATTTGGTAATTTATTGTAATATCAGATCCGAATTGTATATTTATAGAGAAATATTTAAGTGCTGTTCTTAACATAATTTTCGATAAACATATTAACTAATTAGTAAAGTTTAACTATTGCTTCATCTTGACAAAAACATTCCTCGCTGATTTCTATTAGTCTGTGCTCTCCTTAAAAATATTTATCAATCGATTGTTTATAAGAAATAGATTAATTTTTGCAGATTTTATTTATAGTCAGCTTTAAAATATAAGCCCTCTTAGTTGTCACTAACCAATATGGGTGTGTACTTATTAGTGATATCTTTTCACTATCGTGTAACATCTAATGCATGGATTACTAAAATGATTATTATTTTACAAAAGTACATATGTACGAGGATGTCTTATTATCATTTTATAAATTATTACAATTATTTATTAAATTATAAAAATAATCATAAATAATTATAAATTAATAATTATTTGAGCATTTATTTCTGATTAGATTTTACACCTTTTACATATTTGTGTAATATTGCTTTTACAGATCTATTATGTTATTTAATCACGTAGTAATAATACTAATCTTTTTAATGCTCATTGGGTCATTAGGTTTTAAAATTCTAGTTTCTTTTCTTTTTAAATTCATGTGATAATTTTTTTTGAAAATCATGTTTAATGTGAACTTATTGTTTAATGTGAGTTATTATGTGAACTTATTGTTTAATGTCAATTAATGTGCGAACTTATTGCTTAAGAATGCTTTAAAAAGTTATTTGCTTATTAGCGTACTTATTTATTGTATAGAACTATTGTGCAAAACAATGGCGTATTAATAATTTACCTATTTGTTAAACTCTTTTATTTACGTGGCCCATAATAACCACCTAAAAAAGTATTAAAATTAACAATCAGAATTAATATATAAAAGACGAAACAACCAAAATTAAAAACTCACTACTGAGTAAGGTGGTATTGGAAACATCAAAACCTACTTAACTGTTGGAGGAAACGTAAAGGTTGATTTACAGTAATCTAATTATTAGAAAAAAACTTTGCTTCCACATGAAAATTCTGATATCTCACCTTTCTCAGTAGTGATTTTCTAGATTTTGATAACATTTTTGTTGTTCTCTGGACAGAGAATTAGTCTGCAACATAATATGCCCTCTTTTTATTAAGTTAGAGCAAAAATTTTGAAAATAAAATATGTATTAAATGCAGGTACTAAGAAGTAGTGAATATTAAAAAATGAACAGTTATTAAATGTTTCAAACCTTTTCCTGGTGTTTCAGATGCTCCTATCCTTATACCGTTTACTTTTCCATCTGCATTGAAAGAAGGTGAACGTGCAACTGTGACTTGTGCTATACGCTCAGGAGACAGACCGCTTGCATTTCAATGGTTAAAAAACAACGATCTGTTAAAAGAAATGTCTGGCGTCGAAATTCAATCTGCCAAAGACGCTTCTCTATTATCTATTGAATCTGTAGTGCGACAAATGTCTGGAAATTATACGTGTATTGTGAAGAATGCCTATGGAACTGACAAATATACTGCAAACTTGGCCGTTTCTTGTAAGTATATCGTTTTATCCGATTGAAATACAGTCGGAATTCTACTTAACGAACTTCCACTTTGCGAATTTCTCTATTTTGCGACTTTATCGAGGAACCAAGAAATTTTGGGATATTTTTTCGTAAAATAACTTCCAAATAGCGAAGTGAATTTTATATTTAACGAACTTTTCTTGGTGATCCGTTTTCCTATTACTTAAAATATTTCAAACTTGTTAATGCATTTTATGGGGGATATGACCTTGAAATGATTTTCGTAGCCACTTTACTTTTAGGGGAAAAAGTAAAATACCTTTTTCTCTTTGTTTGCTATGCATGCTTTAATTAATTATTGGCACGTACATTGGAGCACTTTCTTAACTCCTCGAAAATATGGATTAAATATAATACATTCAATGAAAAAAAAAAACAAATCTAATCAACAATGAGTGAAAAGATCAAAATAGCAATCATAAATTTTAAGGAAAAATCAGTTTTAGGTTTTCGCGGTTTTGCCCTGAGAAAATTTAAAGATAGCTTTCTTCTGCTGTTGGTTACCTTGCAGAGAAACGTTTTTACATGAATTCAAACTTGTATATGGCATCGGAAGAAGAATAAACTTTGCAAAATAAAAATCTTTGTAGTTTATTTTTATGTGTCATTTCTGAGACAAAATTTTTTTAAAACTATTTTTTTTAAAATTAGGCTATTGATTGTCTCTCAATATTTGAAAATATCTTTAAAGATCTTTTCCCTTAATTTTTTGTCTTAAAATGTCTTTACTCTCATTTAGAATTTAAGATACGACTTGGCTTTACTTATTTTTCCTTAATGAACTTCAAATTATAAAAATTTTTTTAAAAAAGCACCATTAAAAATTAGTCTCAATAAATTATTGATTTAAAAGAGAATAGAAAATAAGTTTTAAATTTTTTTGCGGGCAATTTCGATTTTGCACCCGATATAGAACTTGACCAGATAGGAGTGTGTTATGAACTCATTGCGTCTTTAGTATTAATCCATTAGATCTTAAACTTGTAATGCGATATTTCTTTTAATTCGGTCCCACATATTTTTTTATTTACTATTTTTCTGCGTTTTCTATAGATTTTAAAATAGAATTTTCTGTAGTGCCCATCTAAAAATAAATACAATTTTTTAGTTTGAAAAAAAAGATAATTCTAATTTCAGTTTAAATATGAAATTATTCTACTTTTTAAGATATTTAAGTTAAGCATTTAGCATAGATAGTTTGTATATTGTTGCAAATTTTTTAATTATTAAAATCTTTTATTAAAATTTTTTAATATTTAAAATGTTTAAATTTTTAATAATTGAAAAATATTCTAAAAATAATAAAAGTTAATTATTTGAATTTTTTTAATGTTTAAAATATTTTTTAAAAAATTTAATGCTGAAAATATTTAAAATGAAACCTTAAACTATTTTATTTTAATTACGTAGAAAATGAGCCATTACATTTTTGGCGAAAATTACCTACTTTTAAAAATATTTCCGTCTTAATATTTCCGTAACGAAAGCCTATTGTGATAACAAATGAAATGATATGGTTATGCAGTTTACTAAAACGCAGACAAATAATAAATTTTAAAGCTTTGAAAAATTGATACATCTGATATGCATTTTCATAGTTTTAATTATTTAGTATTTTCTTAAATAGTATATTGAATTCCGAAAAATATTTTATTCTAAGTGCATTTATTATTTTTTCTAATGTTTCATTTGCACTGTCTCAGTAACTAACAACTCAATTTTAACTAATTGCTAGTGAATTATTTAATAATTTTTTCTGTTCACACCAAACTATTGTTTTTTTATTTTCATTTTAGCCCCTCCTGAATGGTCAAAAGAACCAAAAAATGCAATCGGAAAACAAGGTGAAAGCTTAATCCTGGAGTGTGAAGCTGTCGGTGTTCCACAACCAACAATAACTTGGATATCTGGTAAAAATGGCAACTATTATTATTATTACAGCATATTTAGCATTCCTTACCATCTTAATATTCAATTATCTTTCTTGTTGCTTGAGTTTAATTATAACAGTTTTAATACAATTACAATATTTCATTTTACTGATGTAATTTTAATTTATAATATAAGTTTCATAAGGTCTTCATCCATGTCTACAATATTCTGGAAAATTCTCATCGAGTACATTTTCTTTAAAAGTTATGAGTACTTTTTCATTTTAAATTAAGTTTCAAAAATTACGGAAATTTGATTATCTAAATTCAAATTTCATGATTACAACTTCTATTTTTAACAATTTTGTTTAGTTTTCGACTCAGGTTTAACGAGTACTCTTAATTTAAACGAGTGAACTGTCTGGGTCTCTACGTTTGAACTATAAATGAGTTCAAGAGATTCTTTAAGTTAAATATTATTTAAAAGTTCTTAAGTTTTATGAAAAAAGAGTGTAGAATCTGAGATAATTCCCCCGTTAAAATAGAGGGCTCTTTGAACCAAACTCAGTCGAAATTTTTAAAAAAATGAAAGCTGTAGCAATTAAAATAAGCTAGAAAATGTTTTAAAAAATAGAATACTTCTATAGTATTTTATTCATATTGATTTATTTTCCTCATTCATTATATTCTCTTTTATTTATTTTCCTTATCAGACCTTTCCATATTTATTTCCTTACCTACTTATTAGCTTGATAAGTAATCGTTGTTGTTTGATTAATTATAACAGTGTTAAGGCAATACTATTTTAATACAATATACGCCCGATATCTCAAAGTTGAAGGAAGGGAGAAGGGGATTTGAGTTTCAGGCAAGCTTCAGAGCAAGAATAACAAGTTAAGAGCTAAACATGTTCTAAAAAGTAGAAAAATATATTCTAAAATATTTCTCTAAAAAGTAGAGTCATGAAATGAAACAATAACTACTATTAAATATGTATTTAAAGATAGTTGACTATAAGTCTATATACAACAATAATAATTTTATTTTTTTAAGTAGGTCAAAAAAGAACTATGTCTTAAATAGAAAAGAATTGGTTTACAGTAAACTTACGTTGTGATTTTCGCAAAGAAATTCCACTTCTATTTCGAAAAAAATTCGACATAACAAGGTTTTGAGAAGGTCTTCTACATAGGAATCAAAGTTAACTTTAAATACTAACAAATTTTTTTTGAAAGAGGCATTTTATCATAAAACTAATCATGCAAATTTCCTTGTTCAACCCAGGATTTTATTAAACCCTGTGCTCATAAAAATTGGTTCGACTAAAGTTTTCCCCCTCACATTTTGATTAAATTTTTAGAAGAAAGACAATATCCTAAAAGGATTATCTGTGTAAAAATGTTTATAATTAAATACCATTTCACTGATTCATAAATCTATTTCCTACATAGATAAAAGTAATGCACCCATATCGAATGATGCTGGATTGTCTATTCGTATTTCATCAGCAGGATCTCTTACCATAAGCAATCTAGACTCAACAATGCAAGGACATTACACATGTGTTGCAGATAATGGATTTAGTGATTCTTTGAAAAAGCAAGTTTCTGTAACAGTGCGTGGTAAGTTGTGGGGAAAATTTTTAAGACCATATGAATATTAAATAAGTAGTATAAATAAACAACGCATTGTCCTGGAATCACAACCTAACGCTATCAAAATATAATGAATCATTATTTGAAATGGATCACATTAAGAGACTGCTCTTGACTTAGGAAAATGCGTTTCATTTTCTTGGTTTTTGATTATTTAAATCTCTCTAGATTTGATAAACTTCGATCACAAAAACTTGTAACTTTTTTTTCCTCACAGAAATAGATTTACTTACTTTTTGTTGATATTTTTTATTTACTTTTTCAGAATGCTTAATAAGAGTGGGGATTTCTAAACCCTTTGTGCGTAAATACAAATTCAGCAAATAATAGTTCTAGTTTACATAAACAGCATTCTATTTTATTTCGATTGTAAATCTGCTGCGCCACCTGCATATAATTTTGCTGAAGATATTATGCTCCCCCCTTATTATACTTGTTAAATATTCCTTTATTATACTTCAAAACGGATGAAAAATGCGCACTATTTAAACTCATAATGTTAGGCTATCCATCTGTTACTTTTGAATATATCTAGCTATAATTTTGCCCACTTTTCAATGTTAATTATTTACAAACAATTTTAGCATTGTATGAAGCTTGTTCAAAGTATTTGTTAAGGCAATTTTTTCTAACTGTAAAATAAGTATTATAATGTACTCTTGTATGTATCTTGTATGTATTATTATATGTATCTAAATGATATACTAATATATAATATATATATAATATACTAATAAAATGATATACTAATAGCAGTCTTTTTTAAAAACGCATAAACACTTTAGAGAGCAATAAATACTTAATAAATTGTTACTTTTATTATAAAATGTTAAAAATTATATCACATATATATTTATTTATAGATGTGATTTTCAAGATTATTTTATCTGTATTTTTATTCAATGTGTATCCTGCCATTCAATTCAAAACGCATGAGATGTAATTTTTTTTATTGGATATTTTTTAACATTGTTGTAGAATCCCACTGTTGGGCTATTGGCGATGATTTGTGTGCCATCCTTAGCGATGATTCGCAGAATATACTGGAGCATGCGTACACAACTCTATCACAATTTTGGATCGGAAGGTGGTGTTCTTTTATTTGAAATGATACCGATCCATTACACATACCTACGATACTCTTGAACACTTCTTTTTTACTTAAACGATGTATTATCGATGCATATTCAGTATTTAAAAGCATTTTACGTTTTATATTATACAGCTTTACATAATATTCTTATTAACTGTTGTTGGTTAAATAAAATACTAAAAATTCAGCCGAATAGTGTTTTTAAGTTCGATATCTTTTATACAAATATTATGAAATTTGTTGCAGTTTATTTTTAAATTCTGTTTCCGCATATTTGTAATTTTTATTTCTGCCAATATGTGGCGCTACTTGTTATATATTATGCTCCCTAACTGTATCCGTTATTCCAACAAACGCCATATTATTAACACTCGTTGTTTCTTCAAGTTCATATTCGTGGTTTTAACCGATCAACATATAGTTTGAAGTCTCAGAATCATTTTTATGTATTAATTTTTATTCATTTTCATCTAATATGTAATTGCAACAAAATGAAGAGAGACATCATTTCTTCGATCTTTTTGTTGAAAATAGTACTATCTACTTTATTGAAGACTGTTCTCTGCGGAGGTGAGCTTAATTTTCATAATAGTTTATTATGTCAGTTATTTTAATATTTATGATTCATGCATTCATTTATAAATTTTATTGTTTATGCATTCATATATTTTCAAAATAGATGTGGCATATTATGAAAATATATATAAATGTATTGATACTAAAAGAAAAAGAAAGGGTAAATATGAAAGTTAATCATATATTATCACAAAATTATTTTTGATTAACAATATTAATGCAAATTTTCATCAACGTAATAATAAATTTTAAAACCTTATTGATATATTTATTTGCAATTTTTTTACATTGAATTGAACATAAATACTATTATAAAAATAACATCAAAGAAATAGTGGATATATTATTATAGTATTTTAACGTATTAAAATCATACAAGTTAAAAATTTTTATAGTCCAGTTATCCTAAAATTATAAATTTGTATACATAAAAATAGTACGGTTTATTCTACATTTTAATTCTAAATTCAAGAATTGTTATAAGAGACTATTAATTTTTGATTATACTTCTAATGAACTTTTCTTTATTCTAATTAAAGAATTTTAAATTTTTTTTTTAACTTACCTTTTAAAAAATAATCTAGTTTTATTTCACTAAACACGTGGTTAGCAAAATTGATGACAATAGTTGCTCCTATTTAATATGCATTGCAGTTCTAAAAAGTATTGATTTTCATTCCATTTAATCGTCACTGTATCGCATATAACAAAAACATTTGAACATGAAACCAGTAATATATTCTTTATAATATATAGTTCTAAATCTTTTTCTAGCTCTTTCATAAGTTTCTATTAACAAATTGTTAAAATGTGATTAAAAAATAATGAAATTCATGAATATACGATCATTTTGTAGATAGAATTTACTCTTATATTTCTCCTGATTATCAATGCTCAAAACTGCAATACACATAACTACTGCTGTTGACTTAATTTACCTGTAAAACTCATAAAATTATTATATAACATAATTGGTGCAGGCATGTAACTGAAAAGTTTATATCTGAAATTATAATGTATAGTTCAGAAGTTTAAAAATAATTGAAGAATATAACACAGGAATTTATTATGTATGAAAACATCTAGCACAGCTAGAAATTATTAATTATGCATTGGCCGTTTGTCATCTTATTCTTAAAAAATAATAAATAAATATATTTTTTGGCAGATCCACCAATAATTTCTCCATTTTTATTTCCACCCGTATTGAAAGAAGGGGAAAGTGCTAATATTCTTTGTTCGATTCGTTCTGGAGATAGACCTGTGCAATTCAAGTGGGAAAAAGATGGACAACCCTTGAATGTGGAATCCAAATTAGATGTTCAGTCATTAAAAGATTCTTCTGGTTTGTTTATTGAATCGGTAGATTTTAGAACCGCTGGGAATTATACTTGTATTGTTACAAATTCTTTTGGCAAGGATCAATATACTGCAAGACTTGTTGTCACTTGTAAGTATCAAGCATTTTATTTTATATTTTATTTTATAATCTTCGTTGAACAGCCGACTAAATTTTAAGTTTACGGTCACCAATGCTCAACTCCGTAGCCTTGTAATTTTGAACCCAATCCCGAAAACAAGAGAACTCCTGGATAAAATATTGGGAGAAATTCGTCTTCGTAGAAGAGTGATGAAACCAACCCGCATCTGTGTTACATGGAAAGATAGACAGCGAGAACCTCCCATGATTAGCCTGACGGCAAAGGGACTCTAACCCATGATCCATCTACCACTGAGGATATTTCACGTCAGCACTATGGTCGGTGCAAGCCGGATGCAGAGTTCGTGTCGATCAGTCATCGCTGAGATTCGAACCCGGCTCACCACATTGGAAGGCGAACGCTCTATCCCCTGAGTCACCGGGGCTTACAACGGATAATTTGTAGCAAATGCTTGATCCAGGATTCTCCTTGTCTTCCGTGTAAGCAGGATGCGGATTCGTATCTACCAGCTATTGCTGGATTCGAACTCAGATCACCTCATTGGCAGGCGACCGTTCTATCCCCTGAGCCATCTCTGCTCATGTTGACTTGTTTGTAATACAACTATTTTCTCATAAATTTTATTTTCATTCAATGTTTCTGTTAAATACAGTGTATCTTTAATGCAATGTAGCATTTTTGATCTTTACAGGACAAAATTGCACCATTACTTCCGTTATTTTAAGAAACATTGTACTTATAGCTCATGCCTATATTTTTCTAACAATAATAACTCATTCCTTTTTTCTTCTAAATGCTTGCAGCCCCTCCTGTATGGTTGAAAGAACCAGTAGATACTATTGTGAAGGAGGGAGAAAGTATTTCAATAGAATGTCAGGCATCGGGTGTACCTACTCCAAGAATTAAATGGAAAACAGGTAACTAGTAGTTCTTCTCTAAAAATACCTGGTTTATCACAGTATTCTGGAGAAAATCTGAACTCATTAGAGCCTCTTTTTAACTTTTTAATCATTTACAGGTTTTTAAATATTTTCAAATTTTGCGTTGTTAGGAAAATTTGTTGAAACTTTTCAAATTATGGTATCCAATCTTTCAGTAAATAAAAGCTAAAAAAATAGGTAAAACATCTTCGATTTCTCTGCAAGTTTTCTTAAGAGCTTTGAAAATTATCTTTGTACTCTAAGTAAAAGCGTTGTTCAAAAGAAAAGTTCTCTCACAACTTTGCGACTAATGTTTGGTTGTGGTAATGAATGTCAGAGTTGAGCAAGTAGGTCTTAAAAGGGTTAGGTCTTCAAATATTACCTCCAGGTATTTATAAAAAAAAAAGTAAAATATTAAATGCCTCTTGAACACACTTTTCTTTTACGAAACCTCTAGAATGAAACATTTATCAGAATTTTTATTTAAAATTTTTCTGTTTCAAAATCTCTTTTCCGCACCAACAAAAAGAAATCGATGCCCTGTTTTTGTAAAATGAAGGTATAAAAAAGTCCAAACAGTCTTTGACCAAAATATTAGACACACTATTAAGATTCTATGTAAAATCTTAATTATCAGGTGATACTCTACACAGCTTTATTGTTTTTACGCGACTGAAACCGGTTTGTACTTGTTGACGTTGTGTCAATTTGAAGATATATAATATAAATTCAACGATTGGATAAATTAGACGATATATTAGATAACTATACAATATTTATTTCATCAGGTATTATATTAATATATTGTAATAATTAGAAGAAAATGATTAGACGCACAGTAGTTTTTTTTAATAAGTACATGTTTTGCATAGGTTTATTTGCAATACTTTTATATTTAAACATACATTTAATGGGTTTTATTCAAGAGATTTTTATTTACTACCTATTTGTATTTATTTTTAAGGTATTGTATTGCAATCTTAACCCATTGCAATCTTAACCCATTAACCCATTTTATAGTATCACCCGATGATTAGGATTTTTCATGGAATCTTAAAGTGCGTCTAATAATTTGGCCAGACACTAAACAGTGGAACTGAAATAGCGATTGGTAAGCAAACTTTCAAGTTTCTTCAGGCAATCAGATTTGTTTTGTTATTTTATATTTCTCCTTTGTAACGAGTAATTGGGCACAGAGGTGTTGTTTTATTTTCCCAAAATATTGATTTAATGCTTTTTTTACTTCCATTTTGACTGGATTCTAAAATTATGAATTAAGGTTGGCATAGCTCTTCATATTGTTTGTCCACTGATACTTCTTCCCCAATCTAACTTTCAATAATATTTTTTTTCTTTTTTAGACGTTAGTGGTGTGACAATAGCATTAGATTCTTCTGGTACAGTTCATACTTCTCCTACTGGAACTTTAATAATTGTAAAAACATTGTATTCTATGGAAGGATCATACACATGTGAAGCTGAGAATGAATTCGGAAGCCCACTCAGTAAAACTATTTCTCTTAGAGTACGTGGTAAGTAGATGATGCAGATTGGCTCCACTGGCTGTTTTCCTTACAGTAATACGAAAAATATAATTCTTGTCACACTTGAACTGTGAGATAAAAATTATTTTTTTCGTTTTTGATCATATTAAGTGCTGTTTTTACTGTCGCGCCTTAAAAAATATTTCCCTTAGTTGTTTATGCCTATTTAAACTATGCCGTAAACTTTATGATAACTTTAATTGGGTATTTGCACTCAAGTTACCAACGTACCACACATATGACCTATGACGACGGCGCCATCCAATCTTTATCAACAAAATGGTGTATTGATGTTGAGCTAAGTTTATATTGTAGAGTATTAATTAAACTTACGTTAATTAAACACAGGGCCGTATTGCACATAAAATTTGTTGAAATAATATTCATTCTCTTCTGCTTCCTTTATTTAACTTAGACTATTTGTTTATTATTCTTTATTACTTGTTTATGTATTTTATTGTAACCGTGATATATTTTTGTTTTGTGTACCTGGCAACTTTGATGTATAATTAGTTTGTGCTCTACGTGACTTCGTGTCCGTCTCTGTGTAGATATATAGTGAAAGAAAGTAAATATTTGTGAAAGAATATAGAATGTGTCACTTAAGAGAATTAGTATTTGTCGGATTTGGCTTACTCGAAATAGAATGGAAGGAACAGTTGTTGACGTGAACAAATGCTACGTTTTAACAACCAATCAAGATCGAGATACCCACACTACGTCACTCACAGATATCCTATTGGGTACATATAACTGACGTCATCTTAGGTAAATCTTGGCATTCAGAAGCTAATTAGGTTCGATGCTCACCGTCACATCTCTTACTGATATCTAGTAAAGTCTGATTTAAATAGCATGTTTATTAAGCAGGGTCTTCTCGAGTTGTTTGCTTTAAATCTTATAAAGAATTGTTTTCGGGATTTTGTGGTGCAAAATAGTAATATGGTTAGTTTTTCTGCCAATTTAAGCGCTAAAATAAGCGGGCCAAGATCTATTATTTCATTTCATATCCGTTGTTGAACAGCCGACCCTAATTTTTGGGATTACGAGCACTAATATTTAACTATTATAATTCCGCACTCTTGTAATTTTGAACCCGATCCAGAAGACAAGGGAACTCTTGTAACAAGTATTAGAAGAAATTTGCCTTCGTGGAGGACTTTTTGATTGAACTAAATCGCATTTGCGTCACATGGTGAGGAAAACCTCTCATTTATTTGCTTCAATTTATTTTTCAGTTTTGAATTTCTTAGTAAATGTGTAAGAAATATAATTTAAAAAACCAGACCAAACAAGTAGTTTATATACCGTATTTTTGGGTTTTTATTACTAAAATTGTGTGTGTGTGTGTTTTTTTTTACCAGAGATGTCCTTACCAAAGAGTACTATAAATTTTCCTATTCACTTAAGCTTTCATAACATCTTTATTTCAAATATGTTCCTTCCCAAATGTAAGTAAAAAAAATTAAACAGTAGTATGAGCTTTTCAACTAATCTCTAGACGTCTCATTTGTGTCAAATTATAACTTTGTCAAAAATAATATGATCAGATTGTGATTTCTTTTTAAAAAATTACCTTATAAATTTACTAACACTTTGCTATGGTTGTACTTTTTCAGCATGATTTACAGTTTAGATTAGGAATATTATGATTATAATTTACGTATTACGTACTTGCGATTTATATTTCTAAGAAATAGTATTTTGATTTACGTATAAAAGGAATTTATAATTCAAGGTTGAAATGTTATGATTTAAATGATGCGTATTAAAGATTTATAGTTGAAGCCAGTACTATTATGACTTACGTATTACATTTGCGATTTATAATTCAATGTAGAAATATTAGGGTTTACGATTTATGATTTACGTGTTAAAAGTTATATAATTTGATGGTATTATCTGTATGTTTTGTTTTATATGAAATGTTATTTACTGTATCACTTGATTCAAATAAATGTTCTTTTGATCATAAATAGAAATGAATAATTTATTCACCTATGCTAGTTCCTTAAATTTATTTAAATTATATTCCTGATTTAGAGAAAAGTTGTATTTTTCGATGAGTATTTCATAGAATAACGTTCTTTACAGTACAATGTTTTTTTTATTAATAACTGCAACAAAACATCATGTTCAATACAAATTTAAAACTTTTTATTTTAATGTCTCACTTTTGATTTTTATAGAACTAAAAAGGTTAAAATTACTCTTTGCTTTCTTATACGTTGTTCTGAAATCAAATATTTCCAATTGATCTTAAGGTTTTTCATTTATAGAAAGTGTTATAAAAATGCCGGGGCAAATTTCTTATTCTTATGCCGCACAACTTTTAGTTTTTCAGTTCTTATATCTCACAACTGCTTACTCTTAAAAATAATTTTTAAGTTATTTGTAATTTCGTTTATTACATTTGATTCAAAATAATTTTGAAATGATATCCATCATCGTTTTATTAAAAGACACAGGAATACTTATACTGTGTATGTTACCTAAAAGATATTACAAATTACATAATATTAAATATCATATAATAGATATTGCTATATACTTATAAATGCAATATTCAAGATTTTACATTGATACAAATTTACGAAATAACTTAAATTTTGATCAAATAGTTCTAAAGCATTCTAATTCTAATGCACAATTTTTTAGCTATCAAATAATGAAGTATTTCCAAACATTGAAAGTCATTTGCTTTTTCTGTTTCAGATGCTTTTTTTTCTTATAAATACGTGCTTATGCTTTTAATTTTTACCGATATGTGGCGCTGTCGGGCTGTATAGTGAAGCTCTCATTTGTATCATTTATAACTACTAACGCCATATCGTAAACACTCTCAATGTTAAAATCTTTGTTCTCATCTTCAAANACTTGATTCAAATAAATGTTCTTTTGAATATAAATTGAAATGAATAATTTATTCACCTATGCTAGTTCCTTAAATTTATTTAAATTATATTCCTGATTTAGAGAAAAGTTGTATTTTACGATGAGTATTTCATAGAATAACGTTCTTTACAGTACAAGTACGTTTTTTATAAATAACTGCAACACATCATATTCAATACAGATTTAAAACTTTTTATTTTAATGTCTCACTTTTGATTTTTAAAGAGCTAAAAAAGGTTAAAATTACTCCTTGCTTTCTTATACGCTGTTCTGAAATCAAATATTTCCAATTGATCTTAAGGTTTTTCATTAATAGAAAGTGTTATAAAAATAGCGGTGCAAATTTCTTATTCTTATGTCTCACACTTTTTAGTTTTTCAGTTCTTATATCTCACAACAAAAATTATTTTAAAAAGTAAGCTTTTTAAAATAATTTTTAAGTTATTTGTAATTTCGTTTATTACATTTAATTCAAAATAATTTTGAAATGATGTCCATCATCGTTTTATTAAAAGACACGGAATACTTATACTGTGTATGTTTCCTAAAAGATATTACAAATTACATAATATGTAATATCATATAATAGATATTGCTATATACTTATAAGTGCAATATTCAAGATTTTACATTGATACAAATTTACGAAACAACTTAAATTTTGATCAAATAGTTCTAAAGCATTCTAATTCTAATGCACAATTTCTTAGCTATCAAATAATGAAGTATTTCCAAATATTGAAAGTCATTTGCTTTTTCTGTTTCAGATGCTTTTTTTTCTTATAAATACGTGCTTATGCTTTTAATTTTTACCGATATGTGGCGCTGTCGGGCTGCATAGTGAAGCTCTCATTTGTATCATTTATAACTACTAACGCCATATCGTAAACACTCTCAATGCTAAAATCTTTGTTCTCATCTTCAAAAAGCTTTTTGAATCATTTCAAATTTTACTATTCATTTATATTTCAAGATATTTTTTTAATCATTATGCACTTTTAAGAAAATGGAAAGAACAGTACAGTTAATTCTGCTGCTGAAAATAATATTTGCCACTTTACTGAAAACCGTTCTTTGCGGGGGTGAGTATTTTTTAATTGTAATCTTTTATATAATATTAAATTGTGTTATTTTATTCTAAGATAATCTATACTATGCATTTCTTGTTAAGCAACTGAATTGTGTACAATCAAATATTTAAAATAGATTCCTTTTATGTATAAATAGCGTTTTTTTTGATATTTCATGCTATCATGACTTCAAAATACAATCCTATCTGACTTATCCAACTCATATATTTGTTCTTAAATATTCATATCAAATTTTCAATGGAAGTAAAAAAAATCTGTATGGGCAAATAATGATTATTTAAATTTTTTATTTTTCTGTTTTTAAGTAATTGACTTAAATAAGCTTTAGAACTGTAAAAATATTTGAATGCACTATTAAATGTTTCTAAATTTAAATATTTGTCTAAAACTAGAAGGAATTGAAATTGATGGAATAAAAAAATAACTAAAAGTATTTTGATCAACTTTTAACTACACCTACTGAGAAAGTGGAATTTTCATTATTATTGTGTTCGAAAGCAAATATTTCATATGTGAAATATATATAATTTTTTTCTCAAATTCACGACAAAAAATATTTAATATATTAAGTTGATTTTTTCTAACTTGAATGGAATTATTGAATCTGAAACAAATTTATTTTATTTAATCACAATGGCTTTGCTGCTACTTGGTGAATTGTTTATAATTTATTAAATCCCTGTATAAATTAAAAACATTAAACATTTAGTATTTTTAAGATCTAATTGCAATTTTTTTCATTAATTTGTGACTTACCGTATGTTTTCAGTAAAATGAAAGACGTCTTTCATTTCGCTTCATAAATATAGCACAAATGTTTACAACGTTTTCAAATGACATGAACTAAAAATATATTGTCATAGTATCGAACTATTCCAGAAAAAATGCATGTTAAAGTAATGATTGAATTTTTTTTTCCTGATTAAGATAGTGCGCTTTACTAGAATTGAATTCTAAATAGTACAAGTTGTTGTTGTTGTTTCTGCAGAGACATTATAATTAACTTTTCAGTATTAATTATAGAGATTTCAGCTTCAATTATTTCAGTAAAAACTTTAAGTGAAATTTTAAATTGGCATACAAATTAATTTTTAAAAAAATGATAAATAAAACTTCATCAACAATGTCTCAAAAAATGAATTCAAAATGTCAACAAAGCGAAATTAATAATCATGCATCATTTATTTATTTTCATCAATATAAATGATAAAAGAAAAAAAGAAATTACGATATAAAGAGTGAATTCTGGGGGAAGAATTATTCAGAAATTAAATATTTAGAAGATAGAAAAATAAAATCTATTATACCATTATGATCTATGTGAAGGGTTTTTTTCTTTCCTTTTACAATACTATATTTTCAACAATTATATCACTTTTTGCGGCAACTTTCGAAAAGTTTGATATTTCTGAAGTATAAATTAATACGTGGATATGTTTTTTTTAAAAATTGTTCAACATTTTTTTCTTTGGTAATCACTAGTACAATTGTTTTAACATGAATAAAATTTCTGCACTTATTTTTTTGCATTAACCATCATTTTAATTTTACATAGATCAACCAGTTATCATCCCATTTCACTTTCCACCAGTTTTGAAAGAAGGAGAACGAGCAAATACGATTTGCTCTGTTCGCTCTGGTGACAGACCAATTGAATTCATGTGGAAAAAAGATGGTCAACCTTTATCAGTAGCATCGACCACCAGCGTTCAGTCAATCGAGGATTCATCAGTTTTAATTATTAAATCTGTGGACTCAAACATTTCTGGGAACTATACATGCATTGTTACTAACGCCTTTGGTAGAGATCAGCATACTGCAACTCTTGTTGTCACATGTAAGTAATGAACTTTTCTATTATCAATTGCAAGATTACATATTTATCTAGTAACTACAAAGATGACAACATTATCTAAAATATTTAGAAACTTTAGAAAGAAACGTGACATGTATCAGTTTATATTATATAAGTTAGATTATAATTTTATTAGTTATGTACTTTATTTAATGTAATAATAATTACTAAATACCTACTTTTCTGTAACAAAAAATTGCATTAATTTGAATATAGTCCCGCAGTGGACCGATCGTAAGGACACGGTGCTCAGTAGAACACCAAAATCAAGCATCACTGCCTGCGGTCAGTGTGCGGGTGGGTGACCACCTGGATTAGTCTGCATAGGGACTGAGGGAGTGAGGTATCGGTCCTCGTTAAACTGTTCTACCGTAAAGTGCTCGACTTCGCGTGCAGGTCATCGGGCTACCGAAGCGAGGGTGCCTTCCCCTCTGCAGAGGATCAAAATTCTGATGGCTTGATCTTCGGATCATCCTTAGAGATGCTCCTCAGACGATCACCAATAGCCCATTGTGCAGCTCTAGTGTGATGTAAATAAAATAAATACCTACCTAGCTAGTTCGTGTATCACAGTTTTGCAAAGTTCAGATAATATGTTGTATTCGATTGGATAAGCTTCTGTTAAGAGATAGGAGGCTACGTGTTATAGAACATACTTTTTTCTGTTGACATAACAAATGACCAAATTGTAGTATAGTTTCAATAGACCCAGTAAAAAGGCGATTGACTAATCATTTTATCGAAGTAAATTGACTTAATATTGTTAACATATTTCCATTTAAATGACACAAAATCAAACCACAAGAAATCAAAAGTAAATCTGTTAACTAAATTCCTTTATCCATTCTGAGAAATAATCACCTTGTTCTTAAATAGTTACAGGCGAGCAAATATTTTTACAAATTAACCCAATTCTTGAATCATCTAAACAATTTATCCAAATTCTTTTATTCGTTTGAAAATATTCATATTATTTAATTGATAAATTGAGCAGTTGCATGCATGATGTTCCGTAAGTCTTATTTATTTAAAGAAAACTTTTAAAGGAAAAGAAAGGTATTAATACTGAAAATTAGATAGAAACACGAAAAAAAAAAGTAAATCAATCACTTGTGATAACGGAAGGTGAAAATTTTCAAAACCAGTTTGATTGTTTGAGGTGATTCTTCTGAAAACTGCTTTTCAATTATTCCTAATGTCCACCGCCAATTAAGCAGGGATTAGTATTTTTTATCTCTCTTAATTATTAGTGTTTCGTTAGATTTCGATATCATTTATGTTTTATTATGTCGGAAATAGTTTAGATATAATCTTGACACATTGAATATTTATTAAAAACGGTGATAACAGAACAGTTTTTGCATATTGAATTAAAATAATTTTAAAATGTGTTAAAAAAAAGCTTTTTTTTTAAATTGTAGCTCCCCCGACATGGTCAATGGAACCAACAGACACTGTTGTGAAGGAAGGAGAAAGCGTTTCATTAGAATGTGCAGCATCAGGAGTTCCAACTCCACATGTTAAATGGAAAACAGGTAGTACTTCATTAGTTTTTAAATAAATTGCTTTATTCCTTTAATGGGACATTTTTCTCCTTATAATTCTCTGTTAAAATATTTAAGATTTATTTATAAAAAACAAANATGTGCAGCATCAGGAGTTCCAAGTCCACAGGTTAAATGGAAAACAGGTACTTTATTAGTTTTTAAATAAATTGCCTTAATCCTTTAATGGAGCATTTTTTTCCTTATAATTCTCTGTTAAAATATTTAAGATTTATTTATAAAAAACAAATTCATTTAACTTTATACCTTCAACTAATACGATTTTTAAAACCATCTTTTAGGATGAAATTTTTTCGTACTCTTTATTAATCAGCAGGAAACTTAAAATGAACTCGTTAATTAAAAATAGACTTGATGAGAAATGATCAAATGACCGAAAAAATAAAGCTTTCCTGTGTTATTGAATTCTCTTCCAGATCTCTTTACTGCTACCCACATTCACGTGAACAAAACCCTTCACTAGTATTTTATTTTATAACAGTAGTTGAACAGCCGACCCAATTTTCGGGTTTACGACTACTAATGTTCAACTACGTAGCCTTGTAATTTCGAAACCTATTAAGAGGACAAGAGAACTCCTGGGTCAAATATAGGGAGAAATGTGCCTTCGAGGAGGACTTTTGATGGAACTAACCCGCATTTGCGCTCCATTGAGAGGAAAGCAACAAAAACCTCCCACGGTTAGCCTGACGGCAAGAGGATTCTGCCCCATAATCTATCTACCATTGAGGATATTTTACGTCAGCACTGTGGTCAGTGCAAGCCGGATGCGGATTACGTATCAACCAGCAACAGCTGGGATTCGAACCCGGTTCACTTCATTCGGAGGCGAACGCTCTATCACGGCTCTTCACTAGTACCTATACTTTATGGAGTTATCCGCAAATGGCTGTCATTGCTTGTTTCCTATAAACACTTAAAAGTGTATAAAGTTGGTTGGATTGAACGAGAACCCAACGAAGCGAAGCGGAAAGACTTTGCTAGTCCACTATTAAGCATAAGCTGCTCTTAACGAGCAGATTTAACGAGCAATATTTTTTGGATTTCTTTCAAAGCAAAAATTTCGCTTAACATTACGAAGATAAATAAAAGTCATTGATGACTGGTAAATGTAGCGAACGCATGAATATTTTTCATAACCGGCAGTCATGAATCTTATCCGCAGTACAATATGAAAACAAAAAGAAACCAAGACTATTCAAAGCAAAGCAAATTAATTGATTTGTACTGTACAGAAATAATTTAGTAAGTTTGTATGAACTTTAATGTCTTCTTGGAACTCGTTTTTTAAACAAATATATCAAGTTCCCTTCGCGCTTGTGATAAGCTTATTGGACTGTCATAAGAAACTGCATTTAATATACGTTTGTCTTATTTTGTGCCCTGTTTTCATTCTCTCCTCTTCCTTTTCAGATGTGAAAGGAACTAAAATAACATCAGATTCTTCGAGTGAAGCTTATGTTTCAACGACAGGTGCATTAGTAATTGGTAAAGTGACTTATTCTATGGAGGGATCTTATACATGTGAAGCTGAAAATGGATTTGGGCTGCCACTTACCAAAAGTATTTCTCTCACTGTTCGTGGTACGTTAGAGATAAATAAAATAAAACACACATTTCCGTATGAATCAATTAAGTGTTATGGTTTCAACTCACTGTATTTTTCTAATAACGTGTCGTAAGTGTGCTAGTAAGCTCTATGTTAAACTATGGAAGAAATTTACATATCGAAATGTACATTATTGAAAAATGGCAATCGAAACTATGTTTAAAAACTCACTTATATGAAATAATTTTATTTTTAGAACTAGGAGGAACCATCGGTAAATAATTGTAATAACTGGAGATACAACGCACTTTTAACTTCTTTTTTTTTAAGAAAAAGAAGGAAAACTCATGATATTCAATTTCACAAATTCAGAATTCCTAATTTCTTGTTGCTTTTGTACTCCTGAAACTTTCTGCAACTAACAACAACTAAGTTTAATAATTTGATACAAGCTGTTCAGTTCAGCGTTTTGCATTACACATCCAAATAACCACAATTATAACAGCGTAAACTGAACGAAATGCAAATTCCTGAAAACAGTTTATTTTACGCACTATAATGGGGTAAAATAATGAGTGGGTATTATTTCAATAATCCCGATGTTTCAATGTAACAATCAATAGTGTTCAAAAATTAACTTTTGTCTAAATTAGTGCTTGAACGTACTGTATCAGATGCACAGTTGTGTTATTCAAATCTAACTCTTTGGTTCCTGTTTTACTCTTTTTTCACATAGTTGTATATATTTTTGAATGTTTAGTCATGTGCTATTTTTGGGAATCGCTTGCAATAAAAATTTGTGTATCACTTTCGAAGCAAAGTTCTAAGAAATTCCGCCATTTTTCGTTTTTTTTTTAAAATTATTATTCTTGCGTCATCATCTCTGACATGAAATGCTCATCTGATGATTAAAGTATTTTATGATTTGTAAATCATGGTATAAATATTATGACTTACGATTTAGGATTTATGTATTAGGAGCTATATAATTTGATGTATTATCTGGATTTCTTATTTTGTGTGGAATATTACATCACTGTATGAGTTGATTCAATTAAATGGTGATTTTGAATGCTAATTGGAATGAATAATTTATTTACCTAAGCTATTTCTATAAAATTGCTTGAAGTTATATTCCTTATTTAGAGTAAAATTGTTTTTTACGATGACTGTTTCATAAAATGTTTTTTTCAGAACAAGTATGTTCATCCTTAATAACTGGAACAAAATGTCAAAATATTGATTGTAATAATTACGGGAGAAATTGATTTGAAACTTTCATTTTAAGATCTTACATTTGATTTTTATAAAATTAAAGTCTTTGGGTTTTACATTCATACAATGCGTTACGTAAAATGTCGGCCCAAATGACTTATTCTTATGTCTTATCATTTTCAGCTGATAAGTTTTAAGTATTTTTTTAGGTATTTGTTATTTCGTTTAATAATGTTCATTCAAAATAATTTTAAGTTGATATACATCATAGTTTTGTTAAAAGACCTGGAATATCTATATCGCGCGTGTTAATTAAACGATATTACAAATTATACAATATGTAATATGATATAATGTATATTACTTTATACATATGGTGCAGTATGCAAATTTTTGCACCGATTCAAACCTTTTTTTTTAAAAAAAAAAAGCACTTGAAGTCTGAGCAAAGTTCTAACGCATTCCAGTTCCAAAACACAATTTTTTGAGAATTAAAATTATTTCCAAGTTTTAAGTCATTTGCTTTTTTTGTTTCAGATGCTTTTTTTCTTATAAATATGCGCTTATACTTTTAATTTTTACCGATATGTGGCGCTGTCGGGCTATAGTGAAGCTCTCATTTGCATCATATATAACTACTAACGCCATATCGTAAACACTCTCAATGTTCTCATCTTCAAAAAGCTTTTTGAATCATTTCAAATTTTACTGTTCATTTATATTTCAAGATATTTTTTTAATCATTATGCACTTTTAAGAAAATGGAAAGAACAATTCAGTTAATTCTGCTGCTGAAAATATTTGCCACTTTACTGAGAAACGTTCGTTGTGGGGGTGAGTATTCATTTTTTAATTATTATTGTTACATAAGATTCAATTGTGTTATTTTATTCTAAGATAATCGATACTCTGTATTTTTTGTTAAGCAACTGAAATGTGGACAATTAAATAATTTAAATAGATTCCTTTCATGTTTAAATAACGATTCTTTTTATATGTCATGTTATTTTGAAGAAAAGTAGTACACTTTTTAAATGTAATCATATCCATTTCATCCACTGCATATCATAATAATATTGATAAATGTTAGTATTGATTCAGGCCTAATTTTGAATGAAAGTCAAATAAAATCTCTATGGATAAAAAATGGTTATTTATATCTCTTACTTTTCTGTTTATAAGTAATCGGCTTATATAAACTGTAAAACTGTAAAAATATTTGAATTGACTCTTAAGTATAAAGAAATTGAAATATTTGATTGCGAAAATAGAAGGAATTGAAATTGATGAAATAAAAGGAAAATTAAAAGTATTTTAATCAACTTAAGAGCTTACTGAAAAACACCTACTGAGAAAGGTGGAATTTCATTATCATAGTCTTCAAAAAAAATTATTTTATAAGTGAAATATGCATAATTATTATTTTTAATTTCATGTCAAAGGGGATATTCAATATATTAAATTGATTTTTCTAATGTGAATGGAATTATTGAATTAAAAAAAACTTATTTTATTTAATCGCAATGATTTTGCTATAACACGATGAACTGTTTGTAATTTATGAAATCTTTATATAAACCAAAAATACAAAAAACACATAATAATTTTAACATCGTATTATTTTTGTTATTTACTTTTAAAAAGGTATTAATATTCTATATTTTCTGTAAAAAAAGTAGGATTAAAACATATCATCTTTCATTTCATTTCATGAATATAACATAAATGCTTACAATGCTTTCAAATGACATGAGATAGAAATATATTGTGATTACATTGGACTATTCTATAAAAGATGAATGGAAAAAAGTGATTGAAATTTTTTTCCTGATTTAAATAGTGCACTTTATTAATTAATTTATTTCTGAATGGTACAGTTAAAGTTTGTGTCTTTTTCTGCTGAGACAATGTAACTAACTTTTCAGTATTAAGTAAAGATTTATAAGTATCAATAGTGAGGATTTCTGCTCCAATTATTTTAGTCTAATCTATAAACAGAATTTTAAATTTGAATCAAAATTTATTTTAAGGAATAATAAATAAAACTTCATTAAAACTGTGTTATACAAAATGAAGTTTATAATCATACATCAATTATTTCCGTGACCATATAGAGAAATTACGCTATAAAAAGGGAAAACCATTTATAAATAACATAACTAGAAGATTAAAAAAATTCTATCAGTTCATAATGATCAATTTAATAATCAGTTCATAATGATAATTTATTTTCTTTGCTTTTACATTTTAGTATATTTTCAATACTTATAACACTTTTTATGGTAATAAACTATAACTTTTGAAATGTTAAGTATTTATTAAGTAAAATATACATTAAATATGTGGAAATTCTTTTTAAAAAATTGTTCAACTTCTTTTTTTTAATTAGTAATTATGAATACAATCTTTTAATATTAATACAATTTTCACATGCATTTGCTGCGTTAATCATTTATACCTTTTTTACTAGATCAACCAGTTATCGCCCCATTTTACTTTCCACCAGTTTTAAAAGAAGGAGAACGAGCAAATACGATTTGTTCTGTTCGCTCTGGTGACAGACCAATAGAATTCGCATGGAAAAAAGATGGTCAACCTTTACCAGTAGCATCGACCACCAGCGTTCAGTCAATCGAGGATTCATCAGTTTTAATTATTAAATCTGTGGACTCATCCTCATCTGGGAACTATACATGCATTGTAACAAATTCTTTTGGCAAGGATCAGTATACTGCAACTCTTGTTGTCACATGTAAGTAATGAACTTTTTTATTATCAATTGCAAGATTACATATTTATGTACTTCTTTCTATTAGTATAATCTTTTTATTTCCTCATCATTCTTTTTATCATCATTTCATGATCTAAAATATTTAGAAACTTTAAAAATAAAATATAACAAGTATCAGTTATATCATATTAATTAGATCATTGCTTAATTTGTTTTGTACTTTATTTAATGTAATGATAATTATCACTAAATACCTACTTTATTTGCTATAAGAAACTGTATTAATTTGGGTACAGTCCTGTAGTGGGCTGATCATAAAGACACGGTTCCAAGTGAAACACCAAAGTCAAACATCACTTACTGCGGTCAATAAGCGCGTTTGTGACCACTTTGATCAGCCTGCGAAGGGACGGAGAGTTTGCGGTTTCGGTACTCGTTAAACTGTTCTACTGTAAAGTGCTTGACTTCCTGAGCAAATCATCGGGCTACCAAAGCAGGGGAGCCATCCCCTCTGCAGAGGATCAAATTTGCGATGACATGCCTCATCCTCAGGGATGTTTCCCAGACCGTCGCCAATAGCCCATGCCCATTGTGAGGCTCTAGTGCGACGTAAACGAAAAATACTTACATATCTATCTAGTTTGTGTATCTCAGTTTTGCAAAATTTTAGATAATATGCAATATTCAAGATGATAAGCATCTGTTAGGAGGTTACGTGTTTCGTAGAACTCCTTTTTCTGTTGACATAAAAAAATCACCAAATTTTGGTCCAGTTTCAGAAAGATCAAAATAACGCGAATAAAAAACAGCGGAAAAAAGCACGAATGAAAAATCATTTCCTTAAAATAAATTTCATTTACATTGTTACTATATTTTCATTTAATTCACACAAAATCAAACCAAAAAATAAACAAAAGTAAATCTGTCAACTAAAATTCCTTAATCTAATCTAAGAAATAATCACATTGTTCTTAAATAGTTACAAGCTAACAAAAAAGTTTACAACTTAATCAGTTCTTGAATCATCAAAATAAGTTCGTAAATTACCAAAACAATTCAATTAAATTTTTTTATTCGTTCGAAAATATTTATATTATCTTATTGCCTAATTGAACAGTTGCATTCATGATGTTCCGTAAGTCTTATATATTTTAAAGGAAATCTTTATCAAAATTGAATTAAAAAAAGAAAGGTATTAATAATGCAAATTAATTTGAAGCGTAAAAAACATAAATATAAATCAATCACTTTTGATAAAGGCAAGTGCAAATGTTCAAAAACAGTTTGATTTTTGAGGAAACTTAGAGATTCTTCTAATAATCGCCTTTCAATTACTTCTTATGTCCACCGCCAATAAATCCGGGTATAATATTATTCATCCCTTGTTAGTAAATCATTAGATTTCGATTTCGTTTTATCATCTCTTTAATATTTTAGATATAATCTTGACTCATTAAATATATCCACTAGTGTTAGAAATTAAGAGAATTCGCAGACTTGGTCGATTATCTCTCGAACACCTGGACCGAATTTAATAAAATTTGATGCGTATATACACTGATACAAAACAAAATAAATAACCGTTCAACAATTGTAATACACCCGCATGATCGTGCAAAACACTCGTTGGAGTTGGAAGGTATGAGACAGCGGTTACAGAATGAAAAAAAATGAGCTAATAAGGGGGTACGGTCCCCTCTTACAGATATACAGACCTTTCAGCGCGTGATTTCATACTTTAACTAAGCAGTTTACTTTTCCTGTGACACTTTGTTTGAATTGTCAATTTCCTACCTTTCGACTCCAGTATTACGCATGATTATGCGTGTGTATTACGATTGCTGAGTGGTTATTTGTTTTTGTATTGTATGAATGCTCGTGCATATCAACTTTACTAAAAATAAGTCCAGTAGTTCTAGAGGTAATCGACCAAGTCTACAAATTCTATTAATTTCTTACACCTGTGTATTGAAAACATTGATAACAGAACAGTTTTTGCATATCGAATAAAAACAATTTTAAAATGTGTTAAAAAAATTTTAAATAATTGTAGCTCCCCCTACATGGTTAAAAGAACCGACAGACACTGTTGTGAAGGAAGGAGAAAGCGTTTCATTAGAATGTGCAACATCAGGAGTTCCAAGTCCACATGTTAAATGGAAAACAGGTACTTTATTAGTTTTTAAATAAATTGCTTTAATCCTTTAATGGGAAATNTTTTAATAATTGTAGCTCCCCCGACATGGTTAAAAGAACCGACAGACACTATTGTGAAAGAAGGAGAAAGCGTTTTATTAGAATGTGCAGCATCAGGAGTTCCAAGTCCACATGTTAAATGGAAAACAGGTACTTTATTAGTTTTGAAATAAATTGCTTTATTCCTTTAA